TTTCTTCCTCACCATCTCCAAAACGACATCATCACACCGAAATCTCCAAGTCAAACGGTATCCATATCCCTTTGGACCTAACGGTTGATATACTCTCTAGACTCCCTGTGAAGTCACTTGTGAAGTTCCAAACTGTCTCGAAGCTATGGTCATCTCTTATCATCGATTCGATCGTGGCTCGGTCTTTCACTCAGCCGCGTCTATTCCTCAAATTCCCCCATTGGTTGCTCCATTCTTCATTATTATCGTCCTCTACTCCTTCTAGAATCAATAATATCAGTACATTAATATCCGCAGCCATACATTCATTAGCTGCTCGTGAGAAAAGTTGTGATTTCGAGTATCAATATATTCGAGGACTAATCTGTTGTGCGGATGAGTTTGCTGATATTTTTTTAAAAACTTCCAAGAGGCAACAATTTTTATTACCGGAATATAAACAACATAGGACCAATAGTTCCCCATGTGATAGATTCTTAGGGTATGATCCAATGGAGAATCAAGTTTTCACGTTATTTGGAGGTCTAAAGAAGCAACAATGGAAGAGACTTAACATCCAAGGCATTTGGAATCAGTCTCCAAAAGCAACGAGTAGTGGTTTATGCATCAATGGGATTATCTATTACATAGAATGTATAAATATAGGAGGTTTTTATCATCCGGATTTCAATGAGTTAGTGTGGTTCGACATTAGTTTCGAAAGATTTGGTTACATCAAGATGCCCATAACTCTGGAGTTGAGTCCGTTCGAGGAATTGGTTTTGGTAAACTACAAAGGGAAATTAGGATGCTTACATTACAACAAAGATAGTGCAGAGATGTGGACTATGGAAGATCATAATAAGACCAAGCAACAAGAATGGTCTAAGATTGTATTTTCCGCGCATGATCTAGTAGAGAGGTTAGGATATGGTGGTTTTTGCATCGCTGGTGCCACTCCTAATGGTGAGATTGTGATAATGCCAAGGACATTGGAACCTGCTCAACCGTTCTACGCATTCTATTATGATCCCAAGCAAAATAGGTGTGCAGGAGGTCAATTCGAAAGGTTCCTTGGAGAACTAAAATCAGGGGAGGTTATTGAATGAGTAATTTTAAATTACAAAAATGCTACAAGATTTTGTTTCGTTTTTGATATATATATTTTTTTTTAAGAATATCAAAATGTAATAGTTATTGGATTTCTTACTTGGTTTCTTTTTTTTTTTGTTATATGTACTTGGTTTATTTTGTTGTTTCGTCTTGTAGTTGAATATTGCTTGTGAATTGTGATAGACAGGCCTGGTGATAGATAATATAGGAAAAGAAAGATCTCTTTCTTTGGTTTATAGTTCTTGATGAAATAGTAGTGCAACCAAAAGAAAAATCTCTTCCACTACTACATCCTCATAGGTTGGAATGATCATAGTGCACTAGTTATAGTTCGACTATGCAAATACTATGGTATAATGGAAAATTGTAGAACACAAAATCAAAAGCCATTTAATTTGCGTTCTTCGTCAAGATTAGTTACTTGATATATAGGCATCATCCCCGAGGTATTAAGATATTCATATATAACATTTAGTAACGCAAAAGAGAAACGCAAAGATTAGTTGATACAATCATAATCCTCACGAACTGATCAGAAAGAAGAACGTTACCTTGTTTATAATGTTGAAAACTAAAATAGATTGTTAATCAAGTAATCTTTGATCAGAAACGTTAAAGTAAAATAATTAACTTGTTCCTTCGTAGGGAGAAATCAAGGTCGGGAAATACGATGTCGTTCTCTGTCGATCTAAGGAGGCTTGTTCTTGTCCTCCTAAAGTAGGTGTCCGCTTGGATAAGCATCCAAAAACTTGCATTTAGCAGACCGATATTTAAAACATCGAAGGAAAAGATTTTCTCCCATTTCTCCTTCGGATGTTCTTGTTGTAGACTCCAAACGTCTAAATTCGGACGTTGTAACAAGTTTGATAGACAGACACGATCATTTAGACTCCACATGTGCATACTACGGGAGTATATGGTGTACCGACTCGGTAATGATACCCGACGGAATTTTTCAGTGTGGAGATCCATAGCTACTAGCTTCGGAGGTGTTCGCATCCGCATCCGAGAACAAGAAAACATAATCATCCAAAAGAGTGACCCGTTTGTTTGCAAACACCGGTGTTTGCTCATCGCAAATGTGATTGTTATACACGGGGAAAATTCCGGCATCCGTTTGCTCACCATTGTCAAGGGATAGGACCTTAACCTTGAGACGCATATAACGATGGCTAATATCAAACTCTCGGAGTACATCAAGATCAACTTGTATGATCCCGTAACCATGTCTTTCCCAAATCTCACAGTAGATGGCATTTCAGTTACGCCACCTTCAAAGAAAATAAAAAAAACATACCTACATACTGTATTAGAGAGAAAATTTGAAGAATTATGTTTCATGGGATATATGTATTCGCAATTCCACCGCTATATATTTATTTACGTCCAAACATTAAAATTACACACATATCTTTAACATTCTTTTCCAACAATGAAATAGTGATTGTTACATGAATTAAAACCTAGATCAATCAATCATCGCACAAGAAGAAGCACTACCACGTCCCTGGTTGATTTGTGCGCAATTGCAACAATGAAGGAGAAAGTGTCCGATGCTCCCTCGTCGTGGGATTGATTATGCAGATATAGCTAAAATCGTAGAAGCTGATCAACACCAATCCTTCACAAGATCCCAAGACTTGAATAATTCCGTGGTTTGACTCGTTGATTGGGTCAGGAAAAGTGTAACAAGTAGAGGAAGAACGACAAACTTGTTCGTTGTTGTACTCATCTCTAGAAACAATCTCCAAAAGAAAAAATTTCGAGTCGAGCTGATGAACAACAAGGAGTTTCAATAACGGGGTTCCCCAACATATGAGACGTTTGAGTGTAAAATAGGTGGATTCGATCAACGACCTCCATTGTTTCGACACGGATTTGAATCTAAGGAGTGATTTTGTCGAAGAACCTCTTCCACTATATCCTCAGTAGTTGGAATGATCATAGTCTTAGGATTTGCTTTTCCTTCTTCCATTTGTTTTCTATCCCTAAACTTAACCTACATCATAATCCCTTTATTTTTCAAGCTTTTTTGCTAGAAGAAACATATATACGTATTAATTATAGAGAAATTACTTTAAAAAAACAGACCTTTTTTTTCTTTTCCTTTCTAACATCAATAAACATATCTTTCTGTTGCCCAAAAAAAAGAAAAAGAAATAAATAAACATATCTTGCAACCAAAAGAAAGCAAGAAATGATATTTTTCGAAGTTTCCAAATGATATTTTTTCCTTTCTTGGTTGAAAAGTAATTATTCTTTTATTTGTCTAACTTGAACTTCCTTTTTTCCAAGTAATTCATAATAAGTAATTAATTCATGACAAATGATCTACATTCCATATTCGCATTACCAATATATTAAATGAGAGTAATTGGTAATATCAATTTGGTAATTATGAGTAATGACAGGCGGCGATTTAGCATATCCGCATACCATCATCCTTCCATGTGTTGTTTAAAGTGTTAACAAAATCTTTTATTCAAGGCAAAGGAGGAAAAACGCGGGAATAAGCTGAAACGGCACCGTTCTGAATATAGCGTTTGGGATTCCATTGGATCTCACTAACGTTTGGCGTTTCGACAAACGCAATCGTGAACTCACCCATCTTCTGAGAACCAGCCCACTGCTTCGCACGTACGAGAATATCCCGTTGGTGAGCTTCACGATATCGCCTGTCTCGAACGCATCGCACTCCTCTCCCCAAAGCTGTGTGTGAACCGCCGCCGTTTCATCCGCCGCTAACGCGATACAACTTTTCCCGTTCGCTGCCGTCGCCGGAGATCTGGCTTTGTTGAGAAATCGCTAAAGGCTCCCGAAACTGAAATAGATAACGGATTCGAAATAGCGATTCGTGATTCGAATCGTTTAATCGGACAATTAGTAGGCAAATCTGGGTTAATTACAACACATGAATCGTGTGATTTAGCTTGGAAACAAATGAAACGGAGAAGAAGTGTCTAGGGTTTATTGTTTCAGTCATTTTACCCTTACTTCAAATTGTTGACAGAAAAGGCACAAAAAGACTTCGATTACAACGAGG